GATATAAATAAATAAACAAACATTTATTAAAAAATAAGCAACATGTATAGACGAATAATTTATTAGTTCCTCAACATAACAACAATAGAAATAAAGAATCAACAGAGGATTTAATCTTTAATTACTTTTTTTTTATTTATTCGAAAGATATACTTTAAATTATAATAAATATATATATTAATTTAAATTGCATTATCAAGCAGAAAGGGCGTAGCTCGTAGTATCATACCGGCATACTGAACGGATCTAAACATGGTCTGACAATTTTGAACGTTAATTTTGAGATTTGGTCTGTTTTGGTCTGACACCGTCGTAACGGATCTAAACAGCTCGCTAGAAGATTCAGTCTTGTTTATCTTGACATGCCTTAACGGACTGATTTACCTGATGAGACTATCGATCGGAACGGCGTCTTAAAGGTCTTGAATGTCTTGACGTTTTTCTCTAGCGGTAAATCCAGTCAATTAAGATATGATCAGACCAAAATGACCGTTTCAGACTGAAATCGTGCTACCAGTGTTGTAACAGACGAGTTGACTGCTTCCCAAGTTAACTTACGAAATTTTAAGCAGACAAGCAAGCTAACTTCAAAGGTGGTACACCATACCTACATGTATGTCTGTTTTTTTAAGACTGCTGCAGACCTATTGAAAAGTCTGCCAAGACCAGATCTGTGGACATGTCTTCTGCAGACAAGACCCGTGGTTAGGTCAGATTTACAGTTTTATTGTTGACGAAATGTTCAAACAAAGGTTTTAAGTGTCCGGATAAATCAGGTGTTTTATAGTTTTGAATCCTCTCGTCTATCTAAACAGGTACATCTGTATCGATTATAAATGAAACCAGTGACATCCAACAAAACAAACTCATCCTGAAAGAAAAATTTTCCCTTGTCCGTTAAGCAACACACAATCAACTAATCAACCGACATTTATACTGACAGTCAGTCAGTATTCACTACTCCCAGATGAACAACCTCATACTGTTCATTATAAGGTACAAATATTATCAATATTGGATGATACGTTCAAACAGTGTTGCTATACACACAAGCATGAAACATGAAAACTACTGACTTTAACAACAATTCAATGTTTTGAATACTAAAAGGAAATGTTGGCACTCTAAATTGATGTGGACAATCTTGTCATTGTGTACCAATATTGCTGTCATTTTAGTGATATAATCCATCCAGATTTAACAAATAGATTTATGATGCGGATAATTAATTGAAAACGCAATGAATATGGTCAGTGTTGGTTGATGTCAGGCATGAGGATTATGCAAATTTGTAATTGTAATGCATGGTTATGCATTACATTTTCCCAAGTAATTGCATGTAATGTGTAATGCAGCAATTTTTACATTACATGTAATTGTAATTTAATGCATTACTTGAGAAAAAAGTTGTGTAATTTCATGAATTACATTGCATTACATGGAATTACTTTTTTTTCACACACTATATATCTTTCATAGATTGTTGGATATTTAGCTAAAGTAGGATTTGAAAACAGAAGGATATTAATACAGTAAAAGTGTGTTATTGTTGTCAAAATATCAATGAATACCTTGTCATGATTAAATAACAGAAAATTGACCATCATCATGAAACACAAATTAGTTTGTTTTACAATCAATCTTTTCACCATTTTGACACTTGGTCATAAATTAAGCTGTTTTTTTATCATTTAATTAGGAAGGAAATTCTCAATTAATCTTTTTGATTGGAATTAATAAAATAAATGTATATTTATAAAAGTGAAGTTAACATTAGTTAAAATCAATATTTAACTTCATCTCTGTAATTTGTTTTTGAGAGAAAACCCAGAGATCTATATACCTTGAAACTCTAATGATGTTAAAATGTAATAGTTGTATTGAATACACTTTTTACTTGATACTTAAATTCATTATGTATACGGTAGAGTTATTGCACATGCTAGAATCTTTTGTGACTTCATGTTGTTTTTCAAAATGTTTTTTTTTCCACCTAATAATAACATTTACAAATGTAATGTGTAATTCAATGCATTATTTTGCAAAAGTTATTGTAATATAATGCATAACTTTGATAAATGCATGCAATTGCAATTGTAATTTAATGCATGGTTTTGTCAAAGTAATTGTAATATAATGCATTATATTGCATTCTAATTGGCCCCATGTCTGGTTGAGGTTGGATCACAGTTTTGTTACATAAATTATCCTGATTTAAACAAAAACAAAAAGATTGTCATTACACATGTGTTTTGAATACAAAAAGGACATGCTGGCCATATTCATTGATGTAGAAAAAGTTGTGTAGTCATAGTGTACGAATATTACTATCAGTTGTATTATACAATCAGATCTAACATGTCTAAGTTAACAAATAAGTTGATGTATGATCCAACTTTGTAGTTTTCATAATACAGTTTAAAAATGGTCTGTTTTGGTTGATGAGGTCTAATATTTTTTTTATACACACCAGCCTGAAATATGAATACGACTGAGTTTTTTGACAGTTCAATATTTTGAATATAAAAAGGATATGCTGGCATCTGGAATTGATGCTAACACAATTTTGTAATTATTGTATTTCAATATTGCTGTCTTTGTATTAAACCATCCATCCTGAGTTTACTTATTCAATATTTAGCTGAACAATGTATACATTTGCATAATTAAGTTCAAATATGGTCAGTCTTGTTTGATGCGATCAAATATTTTTGTTAGAAAATAATACAAAAACAAAATCACAAAAATACTGAACTCCGAGGAAAATTCAAAACGAAAAAATCAAACGCTCAAACATATCAAACGAATGAATAACAACTGTCACATTCCTGACTTGGTACATAAGTTTTCGTATGTAGAAAATGGTGGATTGAACCTTGATTTTAAAGCTTGCTAATCCTCTCACTTGTATGAAAGTCGCATCAAATTCCTTTATATTGACAACGAAGACAAACAAGCAGCAGATATAAAACTACGGACAATTGCATATTTTAAGTAAAAATTGACATGCTGGCACTCTTAAAATATTTGAACACACGTTTGTTATCATTGGGTCTCAATAATGCTATCATTCCTAATTTTGCAAATTTACTAATTGATGATATGTCTGTACAATTTTTATGGTAAAGTGCAAATATAATGAGTGCTCACTGATACAGTGAACATTGTTTATACAAAGTAGCGAGAGATTTGAACACCACTGATTTTTCGTGACGATTCAATACTTTGTTTAAAAAGAGGTCATGCAGGCACTCTTAATTGATGCGGACAACATTTTGTGTTGATCTTGTTCCAAAATGGCTTTCATTTGTATTATAACATCTATCCAATGGTCCTACGTACATAAAAAGAAAATTAAGATCAAGATACAAGGTCAAGGTAATGTATTTTATTTTTCAGGTTTTCTTGCAATTAGTCAGTGTCAAAATGTTGGTTACGGCATATCGCAACTCCAATATATGAAGATTATAATGGTTTGGTGACTTTTTAAAAAAAGTATTTCTGAAACAAACTGATTAGCAGTATAACACTTAAACCAAACATAGTAGGGACCAACGATCTGTTAATTTGAGATCCATGACCTTCCACTTAAATTTAAGATAGTCGTAAAAGGTATATTTTGAAGTTTGCAATAATATCACACTGGTCTATAGCAATATGTTCTTTTGTTTTTTAGTGTAGAAAAATTGAACATTGAACATGTAAACATGAGTGGTATTGCGTAAATCAAAAGTGTGTGTGTTGTATCAAATTTAGGCATTAGTAAATTTGGTATCATTGTAACGTAGCCTATAAAACTTAACCAAAAATGAACCTTTTATAACGGAGGTAGCTTATTATCTACTGTATTTCAAATAAGCGCAATGTAATAACAATCTGTTACTATCTCCCTTATCTATGAATGTTTTGAATCGTTGTAAAATAAGCTATAAATGTACAATACACCTACTTGTTAAACTTAATGTTCTATCGAAAGACTTTCAGTATTGCTGTGATCCATTGGGTTTTTTTTTTATCATGTAAAGAATTGTTCCCATTCTCCAATTATAAACCGAAGTTGTGAGAATATTTGTATTCCATTGCATAATTAGAGACATGAATATCAAATCAATGCATAAATACACAAAATAAAGGACGAACTAAGAATTACACACGCAAGTATCGGTAACATTTTTACCATAATATTTTACAATAAATAGTTAAATAAATTGTTGAATGTAACACTTAGATTTTATTTTGAATACTTTAGAAATGTCTCTGTTTTGATAATGTTTTAAAATATCAATGTCAAATATGCAAAAGAATGTGTCATATTAGACATTTGCGGACACTAGGTCTATACCTAGGATTACACTTTAGACTTACGATTACAGGTGACAAAAACAAGGGGTCATCTCAAAATACAAAAACAAACTAACAATACAGATCCAAATTACAAATGGTGTTATCTATAAAAAAAGATGTACGCAACACGTTAAAATGTCATGTGTCCGAAGCGATTTTCTGGATTTACCATCAGGACCGAACAAAGCCGAATATTTGAAGACAAGGATTTATAAGGACCAAAGGTGTAGATAGATGTAGATAGATGTATGATATGCATATATTATCAACAGGAGCAATAGACTTTCCCCGCGAAACAGGGTACTTTTAATGCAATGATTAGTTTACGAAAACCAGCAAAAACATTGGTCAGAGGATACTCTACACACTGTTTCATTTGAAATAGTAATGTTGGTGTCGTTTTTGTTATGCACGATTACAACTTTGTATCCGCAGCTGTTGCCTTGCCGATTGTGATTTTTTTTTATCAAATTTCTTCTCGCCTGCTACACTTTTGCATTTTTTATCCCGAACAATCAAATAAATAGATTTGCGTATAAACTTTGTGTTGAAATGAACAACGTCGCAGTGAGAGATCACGGGCTGTTCCGGGGGTTGAAACACCCCTTTTTTTGCCGATCAATGTTTTTGATTAGGGACATATGGTCTGACCCCCCCCCCCCCCCCTCCTTTTATCTTGGGTTGGAATCCTAATTTGAAAATTGCTGGATCGACCCCTGCGTCCTCAGTGCACTCCATATTTCAATTCCATGAAAATAGTACCAGTCTCGGAACAGGGGTTAAAGCTCATGTTTCGAGTATACCAGTCCCACCCATGTTCATGGGGGATAATCATCGACACCGCGAAAATACAACCTGTCCATACTTAATGATTCCCAAGATCTCTTTTATAATAATTGCTTACAAGAAAAACTACTTGGAACTCGTTTGTCATTTTTTGTTTGTTGCTGTTGAAAACATAGATAGTCGAGCAAAGTTTTAACTATTTGAGTACACCTATTCTTACATTTCAACTGAGTCTGGCGAACAGTCTAAAATATATTTCCGCCATAAAGAAGTTCGTTGATAACTGTAGTTGTGATTTTTTGCTTTTGAAACCAAAAACGTAGACAAAAGTGTTTGTCCTATTCAGGAAAAATAAAAGTTTTCAAAATTATACCAAACGGCAAGTGAAATGTCATGAAGAATAAATATCTCAAAACACCCGTCCGCTGTATTTCCTCATTCTCTTTAAAACAAAATACAAGAGAGAAAGTATGTCTTAGCATGAACATGCTAACATGCTCCTTGGTTGATTGCACCTTTCCTAACACAAAGTATTGCTGATTTTTTTTCAGCAATAGTCACAATCTAGTTACTGCAACGACAATTGCGATATTTTGTGTGTCTCATGTTAAAATTATTTTTAAAATAATGTTGGTTCATTCTATCATACTTCTTACAATTACAGCATTTTCAACCTAGATAAAACCGGATACAATAATTAATGTTAACACATTGCTGCAAATATATTAGAAAAAAAGTCGTTGTTCAACTACAGAAAAACATCACTATCGTTATATTGTTTTGGATTGACGGTTTATTTTTACACTTTGAGTAAGCCCAAGATTTAAATGTTACCTGTAAGTGTAATTCTAATTCTAATCGTAGGTGTATGACAGTTTCCGCAAATGTCTAACAGTCGTTGAAGACGTCACATTTAATTACCGTCTATGTGAGAAAATAGTGTGTAGCACATGTAGCAGGTACTTACAGGTAACTAAGGGCAGATACTATGTAGCACAGCTAAACCTCTTACTTGTATGACAGTTGCATCAAATTCCATTTTATTTACAACGGTGCGTGAACAAAACAAGCAGACAAAATAGGTAAAAATGTAAAAAATACAGCAGTTAACATTGTGCTATAATTCTAATCACTAAACAAACATACAAACATGTAACAAAAAAGCGCAAAATGGCATACATACCAAGCATATTAGCAAAAATTAAAGACAAGAATACACACATTTACAATATAGTACAATAACACAATGATTGGATGTATAAGTACAAAGCCACGTCATATATGAAAGAGAGGAACATAAAAGAGCATATAGAAAAAGTGCATAGCAAAAATGAAAGACGAGCAACAAGCAAGTTTTTGGAGTAACACCAAAAGGCATACAGACTAAGCACATTAGCAAAATGAAAGACAAGAATACGATAATATCATAAACAATAAGGACAGAATGTACAAGTTTCACAAGTATCTTAATACACATAAACACAAACAAATATTTAACACATATGCACAAAAAAGCAAATATATCAAATGTAACAACCTCATTCGTTGCTTTCTTATTTTTATAAACGTCTGCCTGTTTTGGCACAGTTATAAAGGTTTACAATAAACCAAAAAATCACCCAAAACTGATTTTCAAAACTAGTGTACAAATATCCGTATAAGCTCTTTTATCAAACACAATACACGTACAATATCACTAAATCCTTACTCACATGCATACACTGACAGAGTCCTTTTATTATCCTTGCTCAATTTATGTAAGCATTTTGGTCTAGGAGATACGGGCAACATATATCATACCAATAATGAAGGCAACATGAAAAGTAATAAGTCACCTTCTAAACAATAGCATTATTCAATTAACTGCAATCTCCATTATGACTTGTCATTAAGAGAGATGTACAGCTATTTTAGCCATGCATATCAAGTTTAGGATTATCTCGTAAGAGTAACCTTCTCATATTATAAATGTATGCTTATATTCCTTTATACTTCCAGCAGATAAAGGACTGGAACCATTAACGTATCGCAGGTTATGTGATGATATGTCCATCAGGAGAAACGTAACTATATTCCTATTTCTATTTATAATTGACATGCAGAAGGGGAACAGAAGCAACATTACTAAAACCGTTTATCTATTTATACTTGCCATGTAAAGGTACTGCATTTATTTTGTCATAAAGACAAACGTCAAGATTTTTCATAAGAGAAACATTAATATATCCTTATTTTTATTTATTATTGCTGGATACATTTTACTATAATATACAATTATAGCCTTTGTATGAGGTCTATACAAGGATACATTGACCTGAAAGAAGTTTACTGACCGAGAACGAAGTCCAAGGTCGATATACTTGTGTGGGTCGATATATCATGTATTGACCTCATACAAACATGACAAAGGCTATAATTGTTATATTATTAATTTCATACCATATTTGTATCAAACTCTTCAGCGTAATATATTCGATCAATTGATTTTGTTGGAATTTTATAGATATACTATTGTCTCCTAGACAATAACAACATATTAGATGTTATTTAGGGTTTTTTTTGTGTTTTTTGTTTACATCTTCTGTATTTGAAGATTGTTTTCTTCAAATACTCGATAAAAAATATAGACTTTTTAAAACTTTTAACAATATCATGAAATTCAATACATGACGTAACACAGTATATCGATTTTTAGATATTTCAAAAATAACCGTGCAATATGCTTTTTGCTCTCCGCCGTTTTCCATCTTCCTTCTAAAATATGTGACTATCCCTGAACGAATCAAATTAGTTAAAATATACGAATTTATAATATTAGCTATTATTGACTTAAATTAACATCGGATTTTTTTTCTAGGAACAACTTTACTATATCATCATGTCCATTTTCACGTGCCATATTGAGAGGACCACACAGCTCAATGATATGATTCTTGTCTAAAAGCAACATTACTATATCCGTATATCCCTTCTTACATGCCATGTACAGAGGACTACAACCTTCATTGTCACACAGAATAACGTTTGAATTCATTTCTAACAGCAACTTTACTGTATCATAATGTCCATTTTTACTTGCCATGTACAATGGGCTACGGCCATTATTGTCACGCATGTCAACGTTACGATTCATTTTTAATAGACGTTTTAATATCATTGTTTCTCCTTTCGTACTTGCAATGTGGATAGCCTTTTATAAGAGCAACACTTGAATATCTTTATGTCCATTTCTACCTGCCATGTCGAGAGGACTTAAGCCATTTTTGTCACACAGATGTTTGTTCGCATTATATTCTAAGAGCATCTTTACTATACGAGTATGTCCGTTATTACTTGAAATGTGGAGAGGACTACAGCCATCAAAACCACACATGTCAACTTTAGCCTCCTTTTCTAACAGCAGCATAACTATATATTCATTTCCGTTCTTACTTGCCATATAAAGAGGACTATAACCATTTTTGTCACACAGATTAACGTTTGGATTCATTTCTAAGAGCAACTCTACTGTATCATAATGTCCATTATCAATTGCCATGTACAATGGGCTACGGCCATTATCGTCACGCATGTCAACGTTACGATTCATTTTTAATAGACGTTTTAATATCATTGTTTCTCCTTTCGTACTTGCAATGTGGATAGCCTTTTCTAAGAGCAACACTTGAATATCTTTATGTCCATTTCTACCTGCCATGTCGAGGGGACTTAAGCCATTTTTGTCACACAGATGTATGTTCGCATTATATTCTAAGAGCATCTTTACTATACGAGTATGTCCGTTATTACTTGAAATGTGGAGAGGACTACAGCCATCAAAACCACACATGTCAACTTTAGCCTCCTTTTCTAACAGCAGCATAACTATATATTCATGTCCGTTCTTACTTGCCATATAAAGAGGACTATAACCATTTTTGTCATACAGATTTACGTTTGCCTTCTTTTGTAAGAGGCTCTCTACTATACCAGCATATCCTTTCGTACTTGCCACGTAGAGAGGACTACATCCATTAGCATCGCATTGATCAACATTAGGATTCTTCTTCAAGAGCAACATTATTATATCCCTATGTTTATTGGCACTGGCAATGTAGAGAGGACTATACCCATTATTGTCACGAAGATCCACATTAGGATGCTTCTCTAAGAGGATCGCTACAATAACAGAATATCCATTCTTAACGGCCATGATAAGAGGACTGCAGCCATTACTATCACATTGATCAACTTCAGGATTCTTTTCTAAGAGCAATGCCACTATATTCGTGTGTCCGTTCATGCTTGCCATGTAAAGAGGACTACGACCATTACTATCACATTGATCAACATCAGGATTCCTCGTTAACAGCGTTCCTACTATATTCACGTATCCATTCGTACTTGCTATAGATAGAGGACTACAACCACTATTGTCGCACCGGTCAACGTCAGGATTATTTTCTAAGATCAAAATTACTATATTATTATGCCTATGCATGCTTGCCATGTAAAGAGGACTACGCCCATTAGTATCACACTGATCAACATTAGGATTCTTCTTTAAAAGCAATCTTACTATATCCTCGTATCCATTCGTACTTGCTATAAATAGAGGACTACAACCACTATTATCACATAGATCAACGGCAGGATTGTGTTTTAAGAGTAACCGTACTATATTAGTATGACCATTCTTACTAGCCATAAAAATAGGCGTACAGCAATTATCGTCAAATAAATCAACGTCTGGATTCTTCTTTAAGAGCAAACGTACTATTTCATTATATCCATTCTTACTTGCTATGTAAAGAGGACTACAACCATTAGTATCACACTGATTAACATTAGGATTCTTCTTTAAAAGCAATCTTACTATATCCTCGTATCCATTCGTACTTGCTATAAATAGAGGACTACAACCACTATTATCACATAGATCAACGGCAGGATTGTGTTTTAAGAGTAACCGTACTATATTAGTATGACCATTCTTACTAGCCATAAAAATAGGCGTACAGCAATTATCGTCAAATAAATCAACGTCTGGATTCTTCTTTAAGAGCAAACGTACTATTTCATTATATCCATTCTTACTTGCTATGTAAAGAGGACTACAACCATTAAAATCGCATAATTCAACGTCAGAATTCTGTTCTAGGAGCAATCTTACGATATCAGTATGTTCGTTTTTACTGGCCATGTACAATGGAGAACAGCCATAGTCGTCACACAGATTGAGGTTTGGATTGTTCCTTATTAGCATTTTCACTATATCAATATAACCTTTTTGACATGCCATGTACACTCCTCCGACCTTATTATACTTACATTGATCCACATCCACATCTTTACCTAATATCCACTCTACCAGGGTAGTATAACCATAATAACAAGACGCAATCAGTGGAGTAGTACCTGATCCAGGGTTTTCCCTTGGAAACAGTGTATCTTTTGTATTACTTAGTGTTATTTGTAGTGATTCGTCCAATGCTAGTAAATAATCTAATAATCGTTGTCGAAATAGTGATACTTTCATATTAATATTACTAAATACAACTAACACCTCTCCTTTTAACCAATCAGTTATCAACCTTTCTAGATATGGTTCTATATAATCATCGTCTATTTCAATAAAGAAGTCGTGTTTACACTTCTCGTAATCTGTAGACTGCTTCCAGATAAAACGTTCATTCACTAAATACCTATCACCATGATTTATTAAACATTCCATCATTATATCACCAAAATAATGAGCGAGAAAGTCAAACAATTTCATATGTGTGATACTATAACTACCTCTGCGTTTACATATAAATGTACCATCTAAAGTATCAAGTGCAATTTTAAGTTTTGCCTTTGTTGTGTTACTGTTCAAGCCACAAGCATTACGCAGGTCCTGGAATATCTGTCGTTGTTGGTGGGTAACTTTACCCCGGAACCATTTTTCACTCAAATTGTTATTGAATAGAACACACAAAGCGAGACTACAAACTTTGCATTTCCCTTCATCATCTTTCGTACTTAACTTATCTAGCTCACGTTTATAGACCTCAAATGGATTTTTGAAAAATTCGTTGATGTTTTCATCTTTTCTAACAAAAGATAAAGAACACAGTAGTGGGAAAAAATCACTATTTCGGAATAATTTATTTACATCGCGTCCGCTTTTATTAATATAAATATTGGCAATATCTGTTTTCTCATCAGATGTGAGACATAACTTATCCGATACTAAGTTACATTCGCAAAATTTAAGGGATGATAATATCCTAAACGTATCCATGTTATCATCACTCCAAATTGTAAACCTACATGATGCTATAATCTTACAATTGCTTTCTGCAAAAATACTTTTCAAAACAGGTGATAGTTTTTTCCAGTGTTCAATCTGAGACTGATTAGTAACAAAGTTTCCAAACATATCATCTACAAAGAAGACTATGTCTTCACCAGGTTGATAAAAAACACGAATGTCTTCTGGTGAGACCACCTGTATTATTTTATATCCTTCTTTTTGTAATAGTAATGCTGCATGTCTAGCTACGAATGATTTTCCAACTCCAGGAGGGCCAGTCAAAATCACACAGCTGTTTATTTGCAAACACTTAATTACGTTGGCGCTTGCTCTTGTTGATACAAACTTTTTATCATGTTCTATCCAGTCTTCAAGAATTTGATTGTTGTCTGAAAACAAGGAAATAAAAAGACTTCATTAACTTGAAATACCACACCTTAAACTTATTTGTATATACTTTTCCATTAGATTTCACACTTAAACAGCTAAACAATATTGATTGTGGGTAAGTACTTCGCTAAAATATCGCTTAAAATGTAAACTTTCTAATTTCAAACCTCCGATCAGTATGTATGATCTGGCGTAAAAACTGAATGATGTAAATAGAACATATATATTTCACTAAATTATTGGTGTCAAAATTATCGGAACTGGAAATGTTTGCAATCAAGAACACTCAAAGAAGAAAGATATTTGTAGTCGTTTGTTAAATGGTTTGTCTTATAATTATGTATCTTCCATATAGTTACTTCAGGCATTCCAGACCGGTTGAGACTCTCACTATAACAATTTAGACACATTGTTTTTGAGTTCATTTATATAAAACGTGACCGGTCTTTTCCAAACAGAATCGAAAACAATAATAATTAAAAAACCTTAAGATTTTTCAGATCGTGTTCAGTCTTTTCCATGTTTTCCAATATGCATTCATAATACTGAGAGATACGCCTCATAGTGATAAAGAAGACGCAGGCAATTTATATAAAGTGTTGAATTTTGTATAGTACTGAATCGATACCACTGCTTGTGCACTATCAGTTCCCAAGGGATCATTGAGATCTTCGGATCAATACTTCGGTATTGACATGATAAATAACACACCTTTCATAAATTGTCCGTTTATAAATCCATTAAGCATTAAGGTGTAATACCACAAAATCATGGTACATCCAATCCGGTTGTATACGAAAATAGGTCGAAAAAAAATATTCCCTTGAATTTGACAGTTGTAGGTAATCCTACATTTTATTGCAGTAAAACATTTCTGTTCCATAAACATATGTCTTGGGTATTTTAAAGCACCATTATTTTTTTATTTGGGGTTTCTATAGAATATTTTGTAAACTTGAGGTTACATGGTTACTAAAGCTTGTACACAGGTTAAATAAGGGGAGAGATTTGATTGGTTAACTTCCAGTGATGGTTATTTTCTTATATGCAATGAAATGTTATGTGAATTTTTTTCTATAGTACTGGACAGGATAAAACTTTACTCATGCCAAGTATTTTTTTATTTGAAACAAAGTTAAATTCTGCACAATTTTTTGAAAAGTGCAAATTTAAAAAAGACTAATAGGGGAAAATCAATGGTGGTTTTACACCTTAAGAACATAACGCTTCAGATCCAGTTGACACAATTGACCTTATATGGATTCAGAAATGATCTGTAGGGTAAGTTTCCGTTGGAAGTGTTTCAATCCCAAAAGTCAAAATATAAAAGCTGTAAAACTTTACTGGAATTCAAATACACGTGTTCTCATTCGGATTTGTGATACTGGGAACTAGTAAAGATTGAAAATTAGAGGATTTTCATAAATTTCGTAATTCTGAATTGAATTCAGGGTATATTAGCCCTAGCTATTTGTTTGCAAAGTCCAATCAATCATCCATAGAACAACGAACAGCACAATCACGCATATAGTAGACTGTTGCGTATTGGTGTTACTGACAAAATGTATAAAAAAAAATCGCGACAGGAATACAAATAGTTACATGAATACATGTATATATCATATTGTTGTCTTTGAAGCCATATAAACATCTGAAGTTCAGAGGGGACCGGCAATTTTGCGAGTATGCAGCCGTGATTAGATCATAGATAGAGTCATTAAATTAAAGACACCATTACAGAAAAGAGCTTTAACTCATAATACAACCAGACAGAGTGATGCCCCCGCACTCCACTCTAAAGTAACTTTATTATAACAAAGTCAATGTAAAAGACACAAGTGATGCCCCTGCAGATGCAACGTTTTATTTCAAAATAACAAACAAATTTAACTGCGTTTACCCCAAAAATGACAAAGTTCAAATATCTCCCTAAAGAGCGACTAGTAATAAAAATCAAAACTCTGACCACATGCACACCTTTCATATATATGTACAAACAGACAGCGAAGTGAAAACATCCTAGGATTCAAACTGTAGGAGAAGTTGAGCTGAATAACTATATACACATAATGGGACGGACGGACGGACGGACGGAAGGACGGACACACAGGGGAAAACAATATGCCCCCAATTTTCAATTGCAGTAACATAATAAATAATTGAACCATTTTAAATATGCATCAAACATACTGTTACTGGAATGATGGTAATGGGATGTGAATATGTACCACTGATTTTTAGATACCAAGGGTTCCCCGAGAAATAAGTATGCAAGGGTTCGAGGTATCAATAATATAGATATTAAATAAGTAATTTGTAAAAAAATTGTGCTGTCATTTTAGTTTAATTAAAGATCAATAATATATATAAAGTTCCATTTGCGGTTTAATGAAACGAAATTATCAACATTATCCTGTTTTTGTTTTGCCAAAAACAGGATTCGGACATCCCTTCTTGTGAACACATTACTTTCCGGTATATTCTGGGACAATTATCAGGTTTTGGAAGTGGCCCTTATACCTATAATAACGTCGATGCCGGTAAGAAAGAAAAAAACATTATATATATTTGAAATATTAACATATTGTTCGTTTTATTGTTATTTTTGGTGACGTTGTACCCTTTTAGACTTGTTGTATATATATATATATATATATATATATATATATATATTTCGACTTGTCTTGCTCGTATTCGAAATAATTTGTAGATTGTGCATGGCTTAAAAAATATTCACATATGTCTATATGTTTATAATTATAAATTAGCTGTTCAAAATTCTCGTTTGAATGGTTTAACACTAGTAATTGTTGGGGCCCTTTATAGCTTGCTGTTCGGTCTGAGACAAGGCTCCGTGTTGAAGGGATACCTTGACCTATAATGGTTAATTTTATAAATTTTTACTTGGATGGAGAGTTGTCTCATTGGCACTCATGCCACATCTTCCTATGTCTATCATCTTCTATATACATGTAGAGATTACTTTATCTATATATAACATGATACATATTTATAAAAAGGTTAAATCCTAAATATCCTACTGCCTGTCGATACTTTTATTTTGGCATTGCACATGTCATGTCTTCTTTGACTGACCATCATGTTAAGTAGTTGATTTTAGTCTCTGATGCATGATTTTGTATTATACATTGTTTTTTTTTATTTTAACTAGCCTCAGTAACTGCGAGTACCCATGTAAAGCACTAACGTAATTTGACCTGTTGATAAATTTTGTAATGCATTTTTTTTTTTTTAACGTAATTCGTGTTATATCTCGTGTCACTATTTTTAGTATGTAGCACCTTTGGTGTGTGTTCGGTATATACTATAAATGATATTTATGTTCTCGTACTATAAACAACAACTTTATTCATTTGGTAAAAAATATTTCCGAACTCCATGGACTCCGTGCAACATAATTATGTGTATTTGCCTGTGATCGTTATTTTATTTAACAGCATTTATACCAAGGTTATAGTTGTCTTTATGATATTGTTTTACACTTTTTTTTTATTAATGTTGTATATACATTGTGTCATATACATAGATCAAATGTTTTCGTTCAGTGTATGTTTACTTGTGTGTGTTGTCTTTTGGTTAAGTTAAGTCATTTCAATTGATATTTTATTGTATGGTGTTCTATGTTGTGATTTTACACAATTATTTCAGGTTATGGTATAGGTTGGCGCCTCTTGTGACGTTCAAACCAGCTGCATGTTTTTGCACCTGTCCGTAGTCGGGAACATGTTGTTCAATGATTGTCGTTTGTTGAAGTGTTTCTTGTTTGTCGTTTTTTGTATAGTTTCGACAGTTAGTTTTCCATACTAATCGCAGAATACATAAAAATGCCTAAGTATTTCCTTGCCAAATTCTAAAAAGTCAAAAGCATCTGTATGAATATACCTCTTATATTTTTTGGGATAACCTCTTCCAGCTCTGTTTTCCATTTCATGATTTCATGTTTAAGATCTGAAGTCGCTGTTGCAACAGGTTCAACTGAAATTAAAACAGACATATGGATTGTTCTTTGCTCTGCGTCCAGTTCATTCCTATTAAGATCAGTCAAAAATAAATATAATACAATAAGTTAATGTTGCAATTGGACCGACCGAAGTGACGGAATCCCAAGATTGGGAATGCCACCAAAAAACGGGGAAACGCTGGACAGGAAAATATAGTTTGCATTGTAATAGCACAACAAGGACTCCTGAAAGAGTTGTTGTAAATGTTATTAAATAGGGTTTGCTACTCTTTTTTAACACCAGGATTTGGCGTCACCGTGCAGACCGGACGTGACTGTCTTTCTACATCCACACCGCCCTAAGTCGAATTAAAAGGGATATTGCTGCCTGTCGGATAAGATCAGTCCCTTACCATATCGTAAACCCCAAGTCAATCATTTGAGTAAATAAGGACCATATGTTCGATGAAAAACAAAATGTCTATTATATCTGTTCATCGATCAACGCAGGCAGTTATAAGAGAAAACTGATTCAAGTGACAGTTGCTTGAAAACCTTGAGCAAAAAAACTTGATTTCAACACTTATAGGACCAACTTGAATATATGTGGGCAACAACGTCAACGTCCGCCTCATACCATCGATCATCTCCGATAAATGTTGTAAAAGAAATGGTGAGCAATTCCAAGCAACAACGTAACAACAGTAATAAAGTCCAGGCATGGAAGAAGCAGAACAGTGTTGGCAGTGCAAGTTGGTCATACATGATATTAGTTTTAATGTGACTTGCAGTATTCCTTGTTGTGATAAACTGCATGACTTTTGTTCGTCAATTTCAAAGGAATTGATTTTCTCTTTTCAAATAAAATAATTTTAAAATGAATATCTATATTTGTAATTTGTAAAGTTTTATTAAAAATGCATGTATTAAAATTCTTAAAAATCTATTATGCATTTCTTTTTCTTCTTGCAGAGTATATTTAGCAAGGTAGGAATAAGGATGACATCAATTAAATTATGAAAAACATTGTTATATCAACATGTTGCTATGTTACGTTCCTTTCAGTAGGTAAATATCGAAAACAAATATTCAAAGTTGCAGATAAATCATAAATTTAAAAAATTGTTCAACACATACTTATCGTATCTATAACACTGCTAAGCTAAGTACAATGTACTTTACTATTGTATTTGATAAATCATCCACGATTTACATCTTATCTGTACAATTAGTTTTATCGAGAAGAAACGAAATCTGAATGAAATGTTTGTATCTAGCATTTTGATATTTTGGAAGTTTGTAACTACTCTTCTTTGATTTTTTATACAAAACATACCTTTAACTTTAATATATAAAACAATCATATTTCGGCAAAATATTTAGCATTAAAAAGTGGCTGATATCTGTACATTTGGTTGCATTATAAATAGACGTGCAGTTCAAAATAACCAGCGCACGTCATGTAAACTCAGCGTTAATTCCAAAGTATAATATGACGTGCTTCTTTCGCTTTGTAAACAACACCGTGATAACATTCTCGATATATCTATACTTAGCGCAGACTCAGAGATATATATAATAATGGATGTTACAGTATACCTCCCACTATGGGATAAGGAAACTTAATATAAGTCATTGTCAAGATAGAAATAATGCTAGCAACCTGAAATTTCATTTGTTTAATCAGTTCTTATCCGAGAACTATTTTGTGCAAACTGCAACCACCCTGTTGAGGATAACCAGCATTTCTTTTTTATTTGTTCTAAGTACAATGATGTAAGACAGATCCTTCTTGATTCCGTTTACTCCATTGCTGATAATGTTGACATAAATATTAAAATATTACTTTTTGGAAACAGATTTTTTTCATATGATATGAATATTGCTATTTTTAAATCTGTTCAGAAATATATCAGAGACACTGAACGTTTTGTTTGAAACTTACTTAATTTTTGTTTCATTTACTTTTATTTTTTATTTTTTTCTCCTCCATTTCAACATTAGTTCATTTATTCCACTATTTCTAATGACTTATAAAGGATATTTGCATGTTTCAAGGTACTTAAAAATAAATGATGAGTAATTACCTATATACTTAAATATACTTTGCACTTAGTAAGTATCACTGTAAACATATATTTGCTCGTGGGTGCTCATAAGTAGCATGCATGTTTCACTATATTGCATTATTTTAAATACAGTTGTTATACATGTTATAATTGAATTATACCTTGGACATGTATTATGGAGAGAGCTTTTATAGGCTGTGCCTGTTGCTCAATCCTTTTCATATCTTAATGAATAAAACATGTTTAAAGTCAATATACCTCCCACGTAAATCCACATCTATCGAAATCTATTTGCAAGCGCTATGCCGATTTTATTGTTTTAAAAAATACAATTGAAAAAAGACTACATAACTTTTATTCTTATTCGGATGCATATTAAAAAGAATTATATACAAAATAACAAATTCCGCGAAAGTCCATTAATGCTTTCGGCGCATTTAAGTCATTCCAAAACATGACGTCACACAAATGAAAACTCTAACGCTGAAGGGTTTTCCGTTACGTTAACATCGAAATTCGTATAATATTACATTAAAATGGATTTTTGAGGTAGGTGTTATTTTATTTTCTATTCTATTGGATAACTTCGCATATTTACTGATGTAAGCAAGTCAACATGGCGGCTCCATAGTTACGAAATGTCAACTTCGGATTTGACGGTAGCTTATAAAAAAACATGTGAATTAAGAATGACAAATGTTTGGTTTGAGAATTAAAAAATTTAATCACATTTTCTACTGGTAATTTACGAAATAAATTATGCAAGCTACAGATTTATTTGAATGTTCCAGCTTTATCTGACAGGGAGTAAAAAAGAACAGCCACACACACGAGACACCCACCCTAGTTTCAGTTTTTTAATTACCGTATTTTGTCCTATTACAATCGAAATAATTCATAGAAGCCATAGATTTGTTGTAAATTTACACATTGCCTGAGTTGTGATATTCGTTTATTTTATCCCCCGATAACGCTCAGGATAAAATTCGAATGTAACGGCCCAGGCCATGTGTAAATTTTCAACAAATCTATGGCTTCTATGAATTATTTCTTAAATTTCAGTAGATATGAGCAGTAAACGGGCTTTTACTTTCGCGTTTAACTCTACTAATACTGTTAAGAGCAAATAAGTGTTTATTTCAGCGTTTACTTCTGCGTTAACGAGAAAAAGCGCGTATTCTATTTTTGAAAATAGTAAACGCACGTTTACGCAGAATGTCGTCGTATCATGACTACACTGACCTATCATATCACATGATTAGCTACATAAAAATGCCCAGCTGTCCATTTTCGATTGAAAGATTACATTTAATTATATGCCACCTCTTTAATTAGTTGAAAATTAATTATCGTATATAAGAAACAAAACTGATATTTACCGAACACTGTGAAAGTACTTTAATTCGTGGGTATCAATTTTCGTGGTTTGTGCAACATTTACATGTTCGTGGGTTTTTAAATTCGCGGATTTTAGTTTTCTAGAACAAAAATTGAAAAATTGCAGCCATTAGAAACGAAGGTTACATATTGTCTGGATTGAAGGAAATTGCAAAGTAAACATTAGCCTGTGTAAATCGTAGTGATCATACTAATTAATCCGAGATAGAGTGATCAATTGGGCTTAAATCTTCATACAACATGACCAAGTATTGTCTGACCAATTTAGAACATATTCACACTTTCGAGTGACCTTACAAAATTATCCTTTCCCATTGTTATATTCAAACCTAAATAAGAGTTCACTTTTTATAATGAATTAATTAAATGTAAAACACAGGATATGACCAATTCAATGGATGGAATGAAATAGCACTGACATAGTTTGTGAGGACCAAAAGGATAAATTGTTTTTCTTTTTCTTCAGGTAAAACTTAATACTTATATACCTTGAGATTTTTTTATTATAAAAAGCACACAATGTTAAATAAATCATTTTGATATTTGATTTTTTTTTAATTATAAAACTCACTGTATTAATAATTGAATTCAGACCATTCAACATTAAGAATTACCGGATTTGTTATATATAGATTCCACAACTGCAACAAGTGTGTTACGACATTTCTCCACTCGAGACAGTTAAATTTCAATATTTAAAGCGCGAAGCTTGCCGAGCTTTTTAAATAATTACAATTTAACTGTTGAGAGTGGAGAAATATCGTAATACACGAGTTATAATGGTGGAATCTGTTTCTTTAATGATTTTTATCCTTCCTTTTCAAAGATTTGACGAAAGTTGTGTACTTTTTATGTGACGTCATCAGGAATGGTCGCCTTTTTTCATGACGTCACAATAGGAAAATCCAAAAGAAACCAAAAACATTAAACGTCACAATTAAACTTCGACCAATCATTTGCTGAGAACAGATCTTTCACTAGTTAGGAGAAATATTTTTCTCACACCGATCAAGAAATGTGAAAATAGCACAAAAATTAGAGAAAACATGAGCAACACGACGGGTGCCACATGTGGATCAGGATCTGCTTACCCTTACGGAGCACCTGAGATCACCCCTAGTTTTTGGTGGGGTTCGTGTTGCTTATTCTTTAGTTTTCTATGTTGTGTCATGTGTACTATTGTTTGTCTGTTTGTCTTTTTCATTTTTAGCCATGGCGTTGTCAGTTTATTGTCGATTTATGAGTTTGACTGTCCCTCTGGAATCTTTCGTCGCTCTTTTAAATGCTTACTTTTTATTGATAAATTTACATATATTGTGTTTCTCCAGAAAAAAAACTATCCTTTGCTTCATATATCATCAGTCTGGCATTGTTTTCTCGAAAGAAAAAAAAAATAATTCACTCAAATGTCAGGTATATAAATTAAATAAGTATTATTTACCTACATCCTTCTCCCCATTTCATTTTTGATTGTTTATTCTATATATGTGTACCATTAGAAAATGTATGAAAATTTGCAAAATTCAAAATGTTTTTGTTTTAATCTTTTCTCTTTCATCTTTAA